AAAGAACACAACCACAGCAATAATAACAATTAAAAAATAATATTAATACTTAAATGAAGTTGATATAGATTTTTATTACAAGTCCCTAAGAGTAATTTACATTTTATAAAGGAAGATGTTCTTTCTTATATATTGAATAGTGTAACCCATAAATAGAGAGGAAATATGAAAATATATGTGTGTATTTGTTTATTTCATTCTCTCTCTCTCTTTCTCTATATATATATATATATATATATATATATATATATATATATATATATATATATAATGAATTGTTGGTTTAATTGAAAAATATTAAATCAATGTTGATAGGTAAACCAAACTCTTATGATTGAAGAACATAAATTAACTTTTACATAGAACATCTGTTATCAAAATCATTAATAAATAAACGAAAGAGAAAAAGTCCTGTAAAACATGTTAATTTCATTGTTGCCATTACTTTTACTATTGCCATTATTACCATTATTATTATTATTATTATTATTATTATTATTATTATTACAATTGTCATTATTATTATTATATCACAAGAGAATTAAGAGGAAAAAACAAATGCAAAAGAACCCTGAGTATTATCATTAGTATCATCAAGATTATGATCATTATTCTTATCATTATCATTAAAATCAATAGATGATAATGACAAAAACATAAATATCGATTGATTCAATATTCCTAAGAGACTCGTTATAAATAAATAATGAAATAAACGAAGGGAGACAAAATTTTTATGATTTTAATATGCATATATTTATGTGAGCTTAAATATTTAGGTTAAATCGTGAATGGATAATTGGATTATTATACTGAATATTTTCTTGTATCTAATTTCTTAGTTACCATCATCTTATTAGTTATATTCAACCTTTTTTTATTCTCCCATCAAGTTATCGAATAGAAAAATTGTTTATCTGTTTGTACTTGTGATTGTTTTATTGACATTGTGACGCAACAGAATAAAAGAAAAAGGTTATTTTGAATTTTTTTGAAATATTAACCTCGATACCTACTATCAAAAGTGTACATACATGTGTCAACATGACAACTGATATTACCATTAAAATTTCCTATCAAATATCTTTCCTACTTTTCATGATGCCTAATTGTTAAAATGTTGATAGAAGGTGGAAATAATTTTTAAAGACCTTTTTTAGGCTGTGAAATTTCAAGTTATTCTATCATAATCTTTCATATTATCTGTTTTAAAACTACAAAACGATAAGTGTTTTATTTTTAAGCTCAAGTTACAATCTTGTTGTTATTTGTTTCTAATATTTCTTTTCTGAACAACTGTTAATTTTGATAATGCAATGAGAAGACGAAGTTTATCAGAATTATGTGATATATTAGCGCAATACATTTCGAACAATCTGATCACACATATACTTGTTAAGAACATTTATATATAAAAATAGAAGGTCAACTAGACAGGTTAAGGGTAAGTCATGACAAAGGAAAAATATTAAAGTACACAAAACAAATGTGATTACCACTCTGGATAATAAATCAGTATTACCAGGGTAGGTAGGTAGGTAGGACCATTGTTGGCTGATGTGTTCATGGGATATGTGGAAAATTTAGTTGAAAACTCAATTCAAAAGATGGGATTGTATAAACGATATGTTGATGATATAATAATCATAGGGGATAAAGGTGATGACATAAACCGCTTGTTAAAAGAATTTAATAGAAGTCAAAACCACATTTCTCTTACATGTGAAGAAGAGAAGGACAACAGACTTCCTTTTCTAGACATCTTGATCAGTAGGAGAGATGGTTCTATCCAACGCGCTATCTACAAAAAGCCAACATGGACAGGGCAATACCTTAATTTTCATAGTCACTGCCCTATTCATTACAAACGCGGTTTAATAAAGAGCTTATTCAGTAGAATCAATCGTATCTGTACTAGTGATACTATTGAAGTCGAGACGAAGCTCCTGACTGATACGTTAGTGAATAATGGTTATCCCTTGAAGTTCATAAACCGCTGGAAGGGTTGCGATACGATTAGATCTATGATGCTTCTGGCACCCAAAAAGCGAGTTTATATTACGTTGCCATTCAGAGGCGACAAAAAAAGTCTCATGTTAAAACGGAGACTTAAATTAGCCATCAACCGGACATTTTATGCAGCCCAACTTGTCATTATTGAAAAGACAAGGTCTATGTTTCACCAAAAGCCCAAACAGCACGTAAGCGATTATGTCACATCCCATTGTGTCTATCAATTTACATGTATGTGTGGAAACACGTATATAGGGAGGAGCAATCGTGATTTGCAATTAAGGATGGGTGAACACATACCAAAATGGTTGCAAAAACAAATGGATTCCAATGGTCAAATAAGATCACAGGATAGACAGATATCATCCTCCATTGCGAAACATTTGATTGAGACGGGTCATAAGGTCGACATCAAATCAGCATTTGTAGTGTTATACAAAAGCCTTCAAGGAAGTATACTAAGGTTTATTGAAGCCTTGGCTATACGGAAACTAAAACCCCCTTTATGTGTTCAAAAACAATTTGTCCTTACACTAAACCTACCCTGGTAGTACTGATTTCTTATCCAGAGTGGTAATCACTTTTGTTTTGTGTACTTTAATATTTTTCCTTTGTCATGACTTACCCTTAACCTGTCTAGTTGACCTTCTATTTTTATATATAAATGTTCTTAACAAGTATATGTGTGATCAGATTGTTCGAAATGTATTGCGCTAATATATCACATAATTCTGATAAACTTCGTCTTCTCATTGCATTATCAAAATTTATCAAACGGACTAACTGTTTTAAACAACTGTTAATTATTAGACGTAATGACAAGTGTCAGGTAAATCATATTAGTAAATGATACACATAAACCAACTACTATTAATTAGGTTTAGTTGATATTATATTCTATAAGTTAAACTATGAAGCTTTTGTTGTCATTCTGAAAAACATCATTATTTCCTACTCCGTGTAGAAAAAATCGAATCTTAGTAACCATTGATGCATATCAATCAACCAGCATTGTTTATGTAAAAAAAGACATTATGAAATTGTGCCATCAATATCGTTCTATTTTCTTTTCCTTAACTCATTTTCACTATTAATATACTGTAAAATCAGATAATAATTCAATATAGTTTAATTCCATCACTTATACCTTTAGCGTCTATGGGATACTCAAAAATGACTTCAAATGATCTACAGATATGAAATCCCTACTACTCAGTTTATCATCCCTATATTGTTAGATATTCTACGACATGGTAATGTTACATGAAACTACGTCCAAAGTAGGTATTACCAGCTAAAATTCAACTGGAGTGGAGTGAGACAAAATGAGTTTTAAATCATTACATTGAAAACTGTAAGCCACATAAGAAAAATCAAATTTGGCTACCCAGAAATCCTGTTCCAAGTGACTGGTTCTTGAAACAACACTAAATGAATTTATAAATACAAAAAAGTTCATTGACTTACAGAAAAAAATTTAATCCCACTGAAAGAATGATATTCAATTCTTCATGTATTTCATTGATATCAACATTATGAAAATTCTTGTACGGATGCGCACTGCTGAGGAGTCCCATACTAAGACGAAGCGGCCGTCCAGTGCTTTCATGGTGACCTAGCTTTAATCAACCCATGAATTCAACTGTTAATTTACTACAATCTCCACAAAACTATCTTTCTGATAATAAATTATTTTGCTAAGAGTTTTCTGATGGTAATAATTCATTTTACATCATGAAACAAATAAAAAAATCCTGGAAGCACTGGACGGCCCTTCTGATATCAATCAACAAATGCTCACTAGTGACTGGCTTCAAGGGGTATTTCCTGGAGTTCTAGTGGGAAGCAGTAACCAGTAAAGTTCAACCGGGTCTGTTGTAAGATAGTAACTCACTGAACACAATAGTGTGTCGCTCAATTTTGTGGATTAGTTGAGGTTAGATATTTACACCGTTGGATGCGACTAGCTCAGCGGTCTAGTGGTTAAGCGCTTGAGCGCGAGGCTGATAGTTCCTAGGTTCGAATCTCACGGGGGGCGGGATCATGGATGCGCACTGCTGAGGAGTTCCATACTAGGATAAAACAGCCGTCTCTTGTTTCCAGGTTTTCCATGATGGTCTAGCTTCAACTGACTCATGATCTCAACTATTAAAATAAATATTTCTTTGATAAAATTTAAATGTTTCTATATATTTCGGTCATCTCTGATGAATGAAGTAGTTAAATACAAAAAAACAAGCAGTCATTTCAGTCAAACACTGATCATCGTAAAAAAGGGATAATTAAGTAAAATACATTGAATTTGACTGTCTTCGAGCTGGTTTTATGTTTGAAAAGATGAGTTTACTATACTAGTCTCACAAAAGTTACAGAATTTGCAGAATATTCAATAGATGGTTTGAGTTCTCCTAAACATTCTCTTAAGCAATTACCTCTACCATATAAAACTGAATAAAACAATACTTAAAACTGATGTGTTTAATTCCCAAACATTTCTGATATGGGAAAAAAATACCATGTAAAGAAAACTGTTAAAATATAGCAGCTCAGATTGGATTTACCTGAAAGAAACTATGGTATTAAATCAATAAATCGTTAAGTAATCAGTGGCAAGATCCCCGTAAACGATATTGTAGATAGTAAGACAGCTATTACTAATGGAATTAAATGATGGTTACTCCAAATCAGGAATTAACTAAATTTGAAAATGCGAACCACTTGATTATAATTCATTTATACTGGAAGCAATGTCGGAATAGCCTTGATTCACATTCTATATGGGGTTGTTGAAATGAACTCTTCAAAAGTCTCGAACAAAAATGAATTATCTATTCATGTCTTTATAATATTTAGCAAGACTTCAATTAAATTTTACTGGACGAAATTTTCGAATTTCTAACACCTTTTAATTGGCATTCTTTTAAATCTGCTTATTGAATGTTTGTTTTTTGTTTTCGTTTTGAAAATTTAATCATTTACTACATCAGATAATCAACGAGTTAGTAAACCAGACACTTGGATAGACAATGAATGGGAGAAATCATCAGTGTTATCAAATACTTTTAGTGATCTTAATAAACATCATGAATTATATTCAGAAAAGAAAGATGTTGGTGATAATTTACTACAAAGAGAAACTGAATTTACAATGATAAATAAATTAGTTAACCATGAAGATGACGAAGACATTGAGGATGAAGAAGACGATGATGATGATGATGATGATGAGGAGGAGGATGATGGTGGGGAAGATAGAGATGTAGAGAAAGATCAACAACGGCCATTTATTATAAATAATTCTAAGGTATCCAGATTTTCAATGAACGCTAATAACTCACCAATTCCAACTCCCTTAAGTAATAATGATCCTAATAATAAAATTCATATTCCTGATCACTTGTTTATCAGATCTACAGATAACAAACGTCATTTTGAGTTGTTTAGTAAAGAAACTAATAACAATAACGCTGGTTCATTATCAATGTCATTATCATCACCATCATCACTAATTCCACCTATGATGAATTGCTGTAAACAAGAAGACAAAAGTGCCGTATGTGAAGCAGAAACGAAAAATGAAGAGACAATACAAAATTCAATAAACACAACACATATGTAAGTAAATTAAACTTTATTAATCAAGGTTAACAATGATATTCTGATTGTCAGATTTACTCACAATAGAGGAGGGTATTATGGAGATTTTCGAATTGTTACAGTTTGCATCATGGAGGGACTTTATTTAGACAAGTGAAAACAAAGTTGTACTGGATAGTTGTTTTATCATAGTATGGGACTCTTCGACAGTGCTCATCGGCACAAAACAGTCTTTCAGCACTTCCTGTCTTTCATTGATTGTCTATGATATAAACTACGAAATTTTTCATCATTGATCCATTCTTGAATCATAACTTCTAATTAATAATCACATTTAGTTGACATCAGTTTATTATATTAGTATTTTTATTACTCCAACTGTTCAACAAATTTTCGCTGTAATCGCAACAAAGACTAATGTAGCAAATAGTAATTGATTATTGATCAGACTATGTAAACATAGTTTTAACTGACAGATTCACCCAGAGAATTCTTTTTCTATCAAATCGGTTACACACAAAGTGAGGTGATGAGCCATGTTTCCAAATATAATAATAATGAATTCGTTTTATAAGTAGTGTATAAACGTTTTACTTATTAAAATAAATATATATGTATGTCCCACGTGCAGGATCGCGGATACGCACTGTTGAGTAGTCCCATACTAGAACGAAATAGCCGTCTAGTGCTTCCAGGTTTTCAGTAGCGGTTTTATTTAGATTGACTCGTAAATTCAACTGTCAAAATACGTACATGTACAATAACCAGTTGTTTATTGATTCAATTATTGTGTATTGAAATCTATACGATGACAGCAAATAAACTTAGTTTAGTTTTTCAACAATTTTGACTTTTTAATGAAAAAAATAGGATTGTTAACTATTAAATATTTGAATTTCTATCATCCAATTAGCTATGATAAGGATGCAATGTAATCCTATTGATAAGGTATAATAATTATTACTGTACTCATTGATTTTGAGACTACCTAAACCGCATAATTTAACTCTCAAACGATTACCAACTAATATTCATCTATTGATTAGGTGAATATTTTCTAACTATAAGGTAATAAGATTAATCAATAAAAACAAAATTGATAATACATTATACAAATGAATTATAAATACGGTTTGAAAAATAAACATTTAGGATTCTAGAAAGGTTCGAGCCAACTACTTAGCACTATATCTTTCAAATAATGTAATATCCTACATTGTTTAGTTTCTTTCAAGAAAAATCAAGGAAATGAATAACGTCACTAGTAGAAACTACATAATGAATATCATATAAAGGTAACATAAAGTCGTTTATTGACTATTTCTGGCTTCATAAAGTATCTATAGGGAAACATATTTCCCACTAGAAGGTTTAGTTTTCGTAATGAAATTAATTCAGTATTAAGATGGAAATACAAGTTATAAACCTTGAAAATATCACGATTTTGTAAGAGTCCTAAACTTATTCGTGCTTCACTACTATTTCAGTGAAACATTTGTGATTTACACTGACTGTTTATTTCTTAATTGATAAGTGCCATGACAATCACACCATCTTTTTTGTAGTCGCTCAAGGCTGACAGTACAGTGTAACTGTACCTAAAAATGTTATACTTTCGTTGATGTACAATGTTAATAAATATTCTAGGTTAGCCTCATTTTATCCTGACTTTGTTTCTTTGGTTTTTTTCCAACTTATAGACCATCATCCCTTTTTCAGTCTACTGTTGATTCATCATGGAATAAATCAATGTCAAATTTTGGATCTTGGTTAGGTGAACAAATATCTCCTTCACTTAATCAACAATATCATAATGATAATAGTATTATTACTTATAATAAAAATCATCAAAATCGCCATGAACAACAAAACCCCCATCTATCATATTATCACCATAATCATAAAGGATCCATTGAACAATTATTCACAAACTATAAATGTACATCAGCGTCACAATTACATATTGATCATGATTCAATAAGAGTTTCATCTGATATACCATTAAATTCATTCCGTCAATTGACTAATGATCTGTTACCTAACTCAACTGAACTAGAAAATAAACAACATCCATTTATTTCTAGCATACATCAAAATAATCATTCCAATATTAATGATGATAATCTTATGAATATTTATTGTATGAACAATTTGTATCCTTCAACATATACAGATTTTATGTCAACACACAATAATAATAATAATAAAGATCAAACCAACTCTTCAGATACATTTCAAATCTTCAATTCATTCGATTCTTCATTAAATAATAGAAATGTTAAAAATTTCGATTTGATAAATGATGTTTTTACTAAGAATTTAATTGATACAACAAATTCCATATCATATTGTTCATTATCAACTACAATAACAATGACTATAGGGAATACAATACCAACAATAATGTCAACAACTAAAACAACAAATTCTATCAAACAAGATATTCCCGATTTGACAGCTGCAGCAGCGGCTGCTGTCGCTTTTCATGGTTTAGATCCAGCTACAACTGTTCAAATGTTAAGAATGTCTTCATTAGCTAATAAATTAAGAAATAAAACAAAAATCTTAACAGGTAAATTAACTAACTTAAAAATTAAAAGGGTTATTTATAAATTATAATAATGAATGAAAACAAAATGATCAGATCAAAATTAAATTTCAAGTTTCATCGTAAAAAAAACAATTTCACTAGTTGAAATCATGAGTCAATTAAAGCTAGAACACCATGGAAAACCTGGAATCACTGAACGACCGTCTCGTCCTAGTATGAGACATCTCAGAAGTGCGGTTCCGCGGTCTCGCCCCCCGTGAGATTCGAACCCAGGACATATCAGTCTCGCGCACAAACGCTTAACCATTAAACCACTGACCCGGCCGTCATCCAACAGTGTCAATGTCTAACTTCAACTAATCCATGAGATCGTAGATGCGCACTGCTGAGGAGTCCCATACTAGGACGAGACGGCCGTCCAGTGATTCCAGGTCTTTCATGGTGGTCTAGCTCCAATCGACTCATGATTTCAACCAATGAAATTACTAAAATCTCCACAAAATCCTTTCTGATGTTTGATATTTCTTAGATAAATTTCCCATATTAAAATTTTATTTTATATTCCAGTTAGTTAGTCTTTTTAACAAGAACCCCGTTAAGCTAGTCATTGAAGTTTTAGTGAATGTTATGAATCTTATAAACCGATACAAAATAGCTATACAAATACACTTTAGATGATAAAATCAATAGTTTCTTCAATAATACTTAAACAATTCATTTTTGTCACTGTATATAGTTCAGTATTCTGAAGTTGTATTCTATTTATCCGTAGTATTAAAGTTTGTAGATTGAAAATAGACTGTCTAATCATATTTGTTCCGTGTATATTTATTTACCACCTCAATACATTAACATAATTGATATTTTTAATTCCTTTGTAATCAACAAATTAATGAAATTAATGATATGATTCTAATGATTTATTTTAATCATTAAACCTGAATCGAAAATCCACATTGCGTACTTGACTGTTTAATTGATCTTGTATCAATTGGGGTCATATATTACAATATTCAATCAGATCGGTTAACTATAGCACTGTTTTAACAAAACCCTTCAACGTTAGAGAGAGAACATGCCGAAAGAACCAAGAAATATCTGTATTCACAGTTCAGATATTGAGTTAATGTGCAAATAAAACTTATAGAATTATTTACCATATTATTCTCAGCATGAAAGTTCGTATTTACACATAATCGAAGTTAATGGGATTCACTTGAACAAACCAAAGCCAGATGTTCAGATTATGTTCCTAGAACTACTTTTCTTATTCCAGTCATTCGTAATAACCATGCAAATAGATCTTGTTGAATATCTCGTAAAATCAGATGAATTTTAGAACATCATTTGTCCAGTTCAGATGACTGGCGTAAATCTTCCAAACTAGTTGCTACATTGTAGAGCACAACAATAGTCAGGAGAAATGTATGTTTATTGCGAGAAGTTACAAAGTATGTACACAATACATATACATAACCTTCAATAGTCCATTTGTATCTCTCGGTGTTTTCTGCCATCTGAACTGTCTTCTCATCTGATCGCTAAGTGTTCAGCCAATGCCATGCTTTCAGTGTATTGGAAGTTTTCATGATTGTCACAAATTCGATACCACGTTCGGCTACACAATACTTACAAACATCCATGTGAGTAGCGTCCACTGCAATATGACAAAACGTGGTTTGCTAAATAATCGATTTCATCAGTTAGAAAACTCTTGAAAATGTAATTTTTAATAAACTCTCCATACAAATAAGAAAGAACATATCAATACGTAATCGATGAACAGTATATCAAATAAAATAGAGGAAAGTTAAGAAAACCAGAAAAATGTAAGCAACATATTTAACAGACGAGTCAATACAATTCTGATGTTTAATATATCAACTCATTTGTTATACCATTATAAATGTTAGATACTGTAACTGAAACATTGCTATTTTGTAATTTGTTCAGTATTTGTTTTGACATTTACTTTGAAAGCTTTTTTTCTCTGAGGATTATCAGTTGAGAATCTCAAACTTTTCATATTTAAACGCCAGAATTTGTAATTGTTTTTCGGTTATGCGATAGTTTAGATGACTTTAACAGTGTTATCCAAATTATTTACTTTAAACAGTGCTGTGTTATAAGTGCTTGACTGGAAAACAAACCAAATTATCAATGCTCACAGTTATCATCATCATAACTGATATAAACATAACTAATCGGTTAAGTAGTAATTAGGGCAACTAAAAATCCACAAACTTGACAATTTGAACTATACTGCTTTAATCTCACTTAACATTTATTTAATACTTTAAATGCAAGTACTGGTTGTTCGAGTGTTTGGTTACATCATATACCATAAACTGTCCCTCTTATGCCATTTAATCTAGTAAAACGAACAATAGTTTTGCTGAAAAACATGTACATTCAAAGACTTTATATCATTTCATAACCGGTTTATTTTTATGTGGCTAACGCAAAATTTCACTTTAAGCTAATAATTCAACTCACGATTTTCTATAGATGGTCGAGAATGTGTTAACTGTGGAGCTACTCAAACACCATTATGGCGTAGAGATGAAGCTGGACATTATTTATGCAATGCATGTGGCTTATATCATAAAATGAATGGAACAAATCGACCACTGATAAAACCAAAACGTCGTATGGTAATTCACATTATGTTAAACATTTCCATCTTATTTACAATTTTTAATCACAGTATATAGTTAACAAATACTTCAAGGTAATGGAAAATGAAATAATCATACGGTTTGAGTTATCTGCTTGCTAGTAAATGTCTATGAAATTTATGTATACCACTCTATCTAGATAAAAACTCATTATTCTAAGAAAAATTACACTAAATGCACACATAACTTTTTGATGGAGTTTTGTTCTCTGAGCTGGATGGTTTGGTCGTGGAGCTTTCATCGTTCTTCTGAACGACATCATCAGCACACATAACTGTTTATCGGATGAACTAAACAATTCTTCATCTATAATTTTAAAAACTCAAATTAGCATTTAAATTATCTTATTTATAATTGTTCATTTTGATATTAGTAGTAGTTTTCTTTTTAAATTAAAAAAAAAACACATTTCATTTCTATTCGAAGAAGCTCCAGACTTGTACATTTATACTATTAATTGTTCAGTGAGAAAGAATTCATAACAGAAATGGTCAAATATCAATTTATAAATAGTTAAAAAACCTAAAGCAATTAGTCCGTTTTATAAATTTCGATAATGTAATAAGAAGACGGAGATTATCAGAACTATGTGATATATTAGCGCAATACATTTCGAACAATCTGATTACACATATACTTGTTAAGAGCATTTATATATAAAAATAAAAGGTCAACTAGACTGGAAATGAGGTAATAGGAGATAAGGATAAAGAAGAAATAATGTGAAAACAATTTGAAACCTCGTCACTCTGGATAATAAGCTAATATTACCAGAGTAGGTTTAAGGTGAGAACAAACTGTCTGGATACACAGAGGGGGTTTGAATTCTCGTATGGCTAGGGTTTCAATAAGCCTTAATATGTGTCCTTTTACACTTTGTACAACACCATTTAAGCTGAGTTATGATCAATCTTATGACTTGTTGATAAGGTGTCTTTTCAACAGGCTTGATCGCATTTGTACAAATGATGCCATTGATGATAATGTTAAGTTGTTAAACAAAACATTAATAGAAAATGGTTACCCCCTGAAATTCATAAACAGATGGAAAGTCCACAGTACAGTGAGATCTACTGTAGCCTCGATGGAAAAAAAAGCCTGTCTACATCACCTTACCATTCAGAGGTGATTCAAATAGTCTGTTATTGAAACAAAGACTTAAATCAGTCATCAGTCATCAGCAAAACGTACTGCGCAGCAAAGGTCATTGTCAAAGAAAGAACAAGGTGCATGTTTCATTCAAAACCTCAAAGACATGAAAACGATTGTGTCACATCCCACTGTGTTTACCAATTTAAATGTGTGTGTGGTCACACATACATTGTAATCTTAACATTAGGGTGAGTGAACGTGTACCCAAATGGCTGCAAAAACAAATACAATCAAGTGACTCAATAAGAGCAGAGGATAAACATCCATCATCCTCTATTGCTAAACATATAATTGAAACAGGGCACAAGATTGATCTAAACTCGGCTTTTGTGGTATTATATAAAAGTGTAAAAGGGCGTATACTAAGGTTTATTGAAGCCTTAGCCATACGAAAATCCAAACCCCCTTTGTGTATTCAAAAACAGTTTGTTCTTACCTTAAACTTACCCTGGTAATATTGACTTATTATCCAGAGTGATTAGGTTTTGAATTGTGTTCAGATTATTATTACTCATTATTCTTATTCTTATTATTAGTATTATCTCCTCTTACCTCATTTCCAGTCTAGTTGACCTTTTATTTTTATATATAAATGCTCTTAACAAGTATATGTGTGATCAGATTGTTCGAAATGTATTGCGCTAATATATCACAGTTCTGATATCATCGGTCTTCATTTTACGTCATAGTTAAAAAACAGAAATAACTGTTCATCTTCAGAAATATCAAACAACATCTCTTTTACCGGTATTGCGGTTGTGGAGATTATTATGTTTTTGATTGAGATCATGAACCAATTGATGTTAGACCACTGTTGGGAACCTGGATGCACTGGATGACCGTTTCGTCCTAGTATGGGACTCCTCAACAGTGCGCATCCACGATCCCGCTAGAGGAATTCGAACCCAGGGCTTCAGTCACGCACACAAACGCCTAACCTACTGAACCACTGAGCCGGCATCCAATGTTGTTAGTGTCTAACATCAACCAATCCACGAAATTGCGTGACCATCTTCCATTGTACTGAGGTAGATACATGTCTCTACCCGACACGGACTAGCTCCACTGGTCACGGCTTCTCACTGGAACTCCGAGAATTCCCTCTTTTGTTATAAATGAAAGTATTTATAAATAAATTGCTAATTTTGACATTTTACCCTTAGAAAAATTTATCCTATCCAAATATAAGCTCTAATTTAGGGATAGTTCAATCCATCGATATATATTACTAACTTGTCTATATTCAAACTCCTCTCTAGTCAGGGTCTAAACTTTACTATGTTTCTGCTTTATGATTAAAAGAAATATGATAGGAATCTTATTAACTTGATAAATCTGTTACCAGTTTATTAGTATGTGACTATGTTAACGAGCTGAATTTTGTGTAAAGTTTTAAAATGATTCGGTGTATTTTATAACAAACAACCAATTGTGTCTTGTTCATCGTAAGTGTTGAAATATTTCAATGCTACACAAATAGCCGACAAATATACACTTAACCTGATATTTATAAAATGCGACCGAAACTACAAAAATTCACTAAATTAAATGAAACTTTCTAAAATATATTATATATGTAAGTTGAAACAACATGACTAAAACTAAAAATGGCATTTTTTGCTAGTTGTTGATATTTAATAGTAGCTAATACCAAAGAGTAGTGCATGAGCTCTCGTATATTAGGGACTCGTTGATCTGGTATATATGAAACTAAGATAATAAACTCGTTTGAAGGTAGTTTTTAACAAGAAATAAAACCAATTATAAAGTACATTCGAAAACAATGAGAAATTTCATAGTTGGTTTACCTTAGCTTTCTTTTAACACCGATGTGATTTGATTTAGGATTATCAAATTATATGACATTCAACCACTGAGTTAGCATCCAATCATCCACCATTTACAAATTACTTGACAAGTGAAATGTCATCAATGTTTATCCTATGCTAACGATGGGTAACTATTTGGCTTCTGATCTAGTTGACCTCATGTGCGTACATATATTCGTCATTTTTTATATAACTTCAGTTACAATAATATATGCTGACATATTTAAACCCAATCAGTCTAAACGAATAACCATTTTTAAAGTAAGACCATCAGTTAAATGAATTTCTGAAAGGATTTTCCTTGAAAAAGCTTGGACCAGATTGCCAGGCGAAACGTTGGATTTATTTCAAAGTCTTTTGCTGAGATTTTACAAATACATTTCTCCTCTTTAATGTCTCAAATTAGGATTACAGTTAAGCTCATACAAGTAAATAGGTTTATTGAAACATTAACTTTCATTCATTAACACTATATTAAAGTGAATAATAGTTTCTTCAAGGTAAACTGAATGTAATGTTGTACAATTATCTACATATATGAAGTAAAAATATGAAAATGAATGTTTACACTGACCCAGAATAAATCATTCTAGAAAAGTGTTTAACTAACATGAAATTTCGTAATTCTATAGAATAGAAATGCGACCAAAATACAAATAAATTTATTCATTTCGTAGAAAAGCAAACTTTTTACATACTACCAGATACCTAATGAAATAGTTTCGCAAATACCTTTCACTATGTATAGTACTGAGATCGAAAAAATAAAATTCTATATCTTGAAGATTTATAAATGATACAACAATAAAATACAAATGTCCTCTTACAACTTAATGTTAACCACTGAAAGACAGCAACTACGGAGAATGTGTACGGAAGTTTGTACATACTGTCAGTCCAAGAATTGTCAACAGAACTATCAAAAATGATAAGATGATTCGTGAAATTGAAGTGAATCTACGAAATATAATCCATAAAAATCAATATTTCTTTTTAGTCATGACCATATTAATTTTCTAGGTGAAATTACTAATTTATGTTTATTGTTGTTAACTTATGCGGTTCAAGATTGAGATACTTTTTTATTATGATTTCAAATATATATGTATACATACTTATCATATGATGAAAATATATTATATGCCGTTATTTACCTAAATTTTGATTAAGTCCGCAAACCGTAAACTTGGTACATTCTGTGCTAATTGTCGAACATCACATACAACATTATGGAGACGTAATCAACAAGGCGATTCAGTATGCAACGCATGTGGACTTTACTACAAATTACATCATGTAAGTTTAATATATTATAAGTATCGATGAATTTACGAAATAAACTCAAAGTAAGAAAATCACTTCAGATTACACAGCCTCAGTATAAATTTAATAACCTTATTCTAAAACGGCGGACAAAAAACATCAGATTAACTGTAACCTTTTTCCTAACCGATAAACATTAACAAAAGCAACAAAGGATGAATTTAACTAGTCCTAAAGAAAAACTTTTGCGAATCTCTACGATAAGAATTATAGGCTGACATAAATTTTCTGTTTGATAATTAGCTTATTCCTACAGCTGAGAAGGATTAAAGTTCTTACCGAGAAATATCAATTAGCATTTGAAAAGCTGAATACAGTTGAGAATCCAGGAAATAATTGCTTAATAAAGGTCAAAAGGAGCAGAAGATAGCCAAAACACCATTAACGCCACTAAATAGCTAAGTGCAAAACATTACTACACCGGGTTATATTAACCTAGTTTAGAGAAACTAAAGAATAATCCATACTTTATTAAAGCATCGTTATTATGAAAATATGGTGAACAAATGAATACTTCAAAATTATTACTAAATTCAGCATTCTATTGTTACAAATAACTGTATTCCATACTAGTTATTCTTTAAGAGCATTGAGTGGTACTTATTTCATGAGTTTCACTAATAACCAAAACGTTTCAGTTATAAAAAACCATGTAATTATTAAAATAAATGAGTACAATATTAGAGGTATCAGCTTTTATGGTTCCATCAAACAACATTTGTTCGAGTATTAAAAATATAAATTCGTCCGTGATTGTAGATGAAAAGTATTCGTTGATATATCGAATTCACGAACTTAATCACATTTTCCCAGTTTTTATTTTTTCATGATTAGTCATATGGTAAGAGTGTACATAAGAAAGCTGGTTGAAGCCCAAATCATCAGTAGGCAGAGCATTTTGAACAAAAAAACATTTGAGTGAATTTACACATATTTCACCACCTTGTTGCATTGATAAATTAGGAAGTTTATTCTATTGCTTAAATATATAAAGTTAACACACATTGATTATTATACTAATAGTATCTATTATAAATGAATACTTGACTTTTCAATGTTTTTTGTTTTTGAAAAATAAACAAAACAAACAATACCCCCAGATAAATCGACCATTATCTATGAAAAAAGAAGTTATTCAAACAAGAAATCGAAAATTAACTCAAGCTAAAAAAAGGAAAGATTTAGAACATTTCACTAAATTATTAACATCTAATAATACAAAATATATTACAAAAGAATTACAAACAAATAGTACAAATTCAAAAATGACACAATGGTTTAAAATAAATCAAATGGAATCAACAATACCAAAACGAACACTTCCTAATGTAGTTCATAAAGAAAATTTACTACTAAGTGTTAATGGTAATAGTAATAATAATAATAATCATAATAATAATAATAATAATAATAATAATAATAAATCATCTTATAGACATTTAAACTATCCAATTACAAATTTCTATTCATGTTCAAAATTCTATCAAAAAAATAAATTAGATAAGAATTATTATACTTATTTAACTGATACTACAAATGAACACATTGAAAATAATCATCAACAATTAAATGCTGCAGCAGTGGCAGCCGCTGCAATTGCAGCCAATTATATTAGTGTTTCAACTCATTCAACAAGTTCAAATTCAATATTATCAAAGAATTCAACAGAATCTACACCATCACCATCTTTATCAACAACTGTTTCATCATTATCAACATCATCATCACTAAACAGTTCTTATGTATCTAATACAAAAACAACTGACAAATTAATAAAAGAACAAATAAAAATCCCTATAAATTCAGTAGTTTTACAATCATCTAAATCTAATGAAAATGAAATGATCAGTCATAATTTACAATATAATTTTAATATTAATATAAATTCGTTTGAAAATAACACTTCATTAATTTCAACTCCATGGAATTCTTTTATATCTAAAAACATCTAAACTAGATCTTTTATTCTTTTCAGGGAAAAAAATGATAAACATTTTGAAATATGAAAATGCAATTTAATAGTTTAATTCATGAGTCAATTGAAGCTAGACCACTATTGAAAATCTGGAAACACTGAACAGTCATCTATTCCTAGTATGGGATACCTCAGCAGTGACGCATCTACGATTCCACACACGGGATTCAAACTCAGGACCTTTGGTCTCACACGTAGATCAGTTAGCAGACATTCAACGGTGCTAATTTATAACCTCAGTCGATCCATGATGGATCCGTGTCAAACAGTTATCCATCAAAGACAAAGATGGTCGTACAATATCGTGCATTAGCTAAAGTTGAAGGATACCGGTTCAGTGGTTTAGAGGTTAAGCGTTCGCGCGCGAGATTGATAGGTCCTGGATTCGAAGCTTATGAGGCGGGATCGTGGGTGCGCACTGCTGTGTCCAATATCAGGATAAAACGGCCGTCCAGTGCTTCCAGGTTTTTCATGGTGGTCTAGCTTCTATCGACACATGAACTCAACTAATAAATTATTATAATATCCACAAAACCTCTCTCACTGAATATGAAAATGTCTTGATTAAATGTTATGTTGTATATATTATAAATCTTTAAAGAATAATTTTTGATCATTTTCAAACATACTTCTTAATAATTGTCAGTATATTTTGCTTTACTGTTAAAATATTCAATTTATTTGATAAATATTATTCATATGTATGGACTTTTTAATTCTTCATTTATTTTGTATGAATACGAATGATTTGATGTGGTTTAGTATTGACTGAAAAGGTTACTTTCAAGTCACCATATCATATAGACAGAACAAATTATAACCATAGTTTTTTTATTGTTACACTGTTGGAATCTGAAAGGAATATATCGTAAACCATGCAAGAAATAAGGTTAGTCGAGTTGTTTAATTAGAATCGCATACAGAATGAAATGGAGTGGTTCTTGATACAGTTCAGTAATAAACTTTAATACTTTCATAATAGTTTACCTAATAGTATAAAAGTAGATGCACCATGTTAACAAAATTATATGAGCATATCTAATAATGTCTTATAAATGTGTCATGATGTCTCTGTAACATGTACAAGTTTATCTACTGAGTGAACTGAGTACACATGCCGTCAAAAAAGAACCGGTGAGCGAGAAAATCAACAATCTTTCAGAACTGTTCTTCGAAAATAGGATCCCTAGGTTTTGATACCAAAATAATGCACGATTATTGTTAAATGATAAAACCTGTTATTAAATACACTATAGTAATAGCTTCTGTATTGATCTTGGTGATCCAGTTTGATGAAAAGAAATACAGATGTAATAAAAATTGAAAGGATACCACGTAAGATTAGAAAATAAAAATCATTCAACAGAAATCAAGTGGAAAATCAGCCTGAAATTCCCTAGTTCACACATCAATCTAACTGAATGAAATATTCGAATATATTTACACTTTAATCAAAACACACAACCACATTCTTTCCTTTAAATAATCAAACGCACATTGAGAGTCAATATACTTTACTGAGGGTCTGAAGAAAATGACTAATAGGACAATAAGATGTGAAGTACTTGAGTATGTTGATCACCTAACTAACTTGGGAGCTTCACTCCAACTAGTGAATCAGTTGGTGATAAGTTTTGACACGGATATAAAAAAGATTTCTCCGAATTCTCAAATTTGTCCCATGTGTGGATCAGACTAAATATGCTCCTGAATAATAAAAAGGTGAGTAAACGGAGAAGTCTTACGGAAGCTAATCGGGACCTATGAAAGTAGAAGATATGAATAAGCTACAAGTAGTTGATCATATATTTCCAAAGTAGTGATAGCATATGGTGGAACCCCCAAGTAATTAGTGTTGAAGTTAAATGTAGGATATTAGTTAAGATAGTGAGTTGGTTGGTGAGGATGCAAACCCTATTTGTTAGGGTAGTTAGAATGAAATACACATGTCCGGAATCCAACTATCACGATGTGAAACGGTGGCTAGGATTGGAATGATTTAGACAAAAGTTAAGGGCATTTAGGTGATGATAAAACAACAGTAGCCATGAAGCTACGGACTCTGAAACGGGTCAGTGTTAGGTGCTGATTATCCATTACGGATCCACAAGATAATCGTAATCAATAACTGAAGATCATAGTTCTCATGATTCGAAGCGGATTGATCCTTTATATTGCTCTCAATCTCAAGTTATGATCCTACTTAATACTTTTTTCCTTTGTACTTTCTGAACTACGTCTTATATTTATTGTTTGTACTGTATGTGATACGACTTTAGTATTAATTTTCTCCTACTATGCTGATGTATAATCTGCAGACATGGAGTAACACATAGTTATTGTAGGTCCTACGTTGTTTATGAATGACATTTACAGTTGTTAACACTAAACATTCGATTACAAATGAAGATATATACACGGTTGAGGAGTTTCGGCATGAAAAATCACCATCACTGACAACTATTTTTTGATTAGTAACTGCCGAATGATTACTAAAGAAAACGAGTTTATTATATAACAAGAAGTTTAAAAACGAAAGTTAGTTACACAAGTGATTTTTAAAAAATATTTTCCCGAAAAAACTAAGCAATATTTTGTAAATATTTAAAATAGTTCTACACAACTATGAGCTGAACGGCAAATACAACATGTGAAATTCATGCGTCAATTGAATACACAATACATCACTACTGATATGAAATAGGAACAAGTCGGTATTTCTACAGACAGTTTTTAAATGCAAATAGATTAACAGAAAATCACTATCGTTTCGCTGTAATAGCATTTTGAATTGCTGACTTTTTAGCTAGTTTTACATTTGGGGAAGGAGCCAACCAAGCTTGTCGACCGATTGATAAGGAGGAAAGAACTCGAGAAGGTTTTGATTCTCTACTCGTAACATTACGTTTATCACACGAAGATAAACTTCTTCTTCGAACTTTTACAGTGATATCAGAGGATATCTTACTGTGTTGTTTTAGCCAATTTGGAGCATCTTCACCAAATGGGTTAGAAATAGAATCGCAGTCCTCATTTTCAACAGAATTATTAAACGGCAAACAATGATCGGGCTCATTTTCAGAATTTTTTATTTCATACTGATGCAATTTTCCAGTCGACAAATTGATTTTAGGCGGCTTCCAAAGAGGTTTATGTTTCTCAAACTTATCACCAGAATCTAGATAGCATAGACAAAATTCATTCTCCGATTGTAGTAGTATTCCGTCTCCAGTCGAAAGCCAGACAAGGGATGAAATTAGAAAATTGAAGTGTGTTGGGGCCTGAATATCCAAAAAGTTATACAAAAAATATATTATTAGTAATGTAACAAAGTTGGGTATTTTATGCTGCTTTTTATAGTGTATTTATTAGTAGAAGTTAGGACTGTGGTACGAACTATGTGACTACCATTTACAGTTATTTAACCGAGTATTTACAAACAATGTATAAATTACTGTGACTTTATTAATATGTAGACAAATCACGATAAGAAACTGTAGAGCCGTTGTGAATATCAGCCTCAGACTTGAATAATCGATTTTTCGATATATATAAAAGAATTGCTTCTGATGTGCACCCTTAAAGTAAAACTCATCCTTAAAAAATTTCAACTCTTTCCTTCAACTAATCACGTCACTATATCCTTTTATTTTGACTGTCTTCTACATTAGTAATTTTATTTTAACTAACTGAGCTTTACTCACTTTATACTTACTTATTGTCAGTTTGTTCGTTACGTAACCACTTGTTCCTACCCTTTTCGTCTTTTGTTATTATCAATGTTGTAGAACGTTCTTTCACATAATATATATACAATATTTTATTTAATCTATTGCCTTCTTCAGTCATAAAGGTTGGTGAAGTCGATTGCCTTCTTCTGGAGACACTAATAGATGACGCGGTACAAACACCGAGGTGAAATAGACGTTTTAGTCTTGACCTTTCTCTCCCTTGACACATACATGGTGACGGCAGACCACATGTGAATCACATAGCAATGATTTATTATTCCTTCCCAAGTTGGGAATTACTTTGTACATCCTTCATATTAAGAGTGGTCCAACTTCTTGCTTGTCCTTTGTTTATTGTCATTCTCTCTTTCGCTTGTCAGGACCGCATAGTTATCTCCCTGGTCCGATTACGTTGATTTCCTTTCAGTTTCAGGCAGTTGTTGTGAGTGGCATGTTTTGAGATTCCTTAATAACTATTCTCTTGATCTTCGTGTTTCTAATGTTTAAATAGGAATCATCTGTTTTTAGCCAGTCATTTTTATAGGACAGATATGTCGGTTTTCTTAGCTTCTACATCTTCTAGTCCGTAATCATTTCTATAATGTCAATACATTTCTTTATTTATTGCGAAAAACCGACTACAATTGCAATTTATGTATTTCATCATCGCCTTTCTAGTATGCCGGGTTGTATTCACTGAATCTATTTAGTTCCATAATGGTCGGGCTATTTATCTACTGATTTGGTAGATATTATTTCAGTGTCACAAAATCGATCTGAATTTGTCTTACCCACCTTTTGTGTGGGCACGTTCGTGACAATTTTCAAACACACTCTTCATCACTTTGAACAAAACACTATCCTTTCTTATTTTGTCCGTTTACCACACATTCAGTCTGTTTGTCTGACTTTGATAGTTTCATAATCTCTCCCAATTCTTCTATAGTCAAATTTTTCTTGTCTTTCATTCCAAATATCATACGTTTCATAGTATTTAGCGGTTTCTAATCTCGTTCCATCTTTCTAACATAAGACTATTATTTTTAGTCCATATATTAAAGTGGGTATGTTATAACTTGTGGCCTGTGTGCCCTGTTAATGTATAACGTAATGATACCGCCAATTAGAGAGCAGTGAATTATCGACCGGACCAATGACACCTAAAAGCCGTGCGAGCAGTCTAGAGTACTTATCGGTCCTGCTTCCTGTCTAGCCCAGCCAGTTAAGTCCAAAACGCAAATCCCAGTCTCTGCGATATGAATCAGTTATTTCAAGCATACTGGGTTTATATACCAACCGGACAGACCACATCATACCATAAAATAGGAAACAACATTTGTACAAGATTTAGCCAAAAGTGGCTGTGAGTGTGGGAGGTAGTAATTAATAGACAGGGCATAATTCAAGAATGGTAAATAGTATAATAATAGTTCATAGGTCAAAATGAGGCTTATAATAAGAGGAACACGAATATGAATAGTTTAGTTATTTAACAATTATATGATAAAAATATACGCATAGTATTGGTCCATAAATGGATCCCAAAAGTTACCATTCATTGTGCTTAACGGGGCATAACAAGGTACTACTGACATTTCAATCAATCTTGCCTTTGTGCTAATGCTGACATTTAGTGATAGTAAGATCAACCTTATTGGTCTTACATGAATTATTGCATGTTATCTTGTATGGCTTCTTCAGGAAGACCATTGTTACAGGCCTTGGATCCAAGGTATTTAAATAAACTAACGTTTTCGATTATATTTTCCTCAGTTTTGACTGTTTTTTCATCTCCACTAGCAATTATGATCACTTCGATTTTCTCGTTCAATATCTTCATCCCGAGTTTGTCAAGAAAATTTTGCATTTTACTTAACAACACAGTTGCATCACTTGCTATCTTAGTGATTATACACAGATCATCCGCATATTCAACAAGCTTAAGTATCCATTCACTGTTTTATTTACCTATCACCTTTATGCCAGTATCATCTTGTTTATTGTTTCTTACAGGATTTCTTGAAAAACAAGGTTAAAGAAAAGTGGACCCTCTTTGCTCCCTTATCCGACATCTCTGTCGATTGTAAAGGGTAAATCCGTTCCAACCAAGTGTCATTTTGGTTTTTGAAGTAATCGTTCAACATTTCCTTTAATATTTGTGGGTACATTTGGTTCATTTATTACTTTAATGATTAATCCCTTCGGCACAGTATCAAATGATTTTATTAAATCAAATCCAATGTACAATTTTGCCTTGGATGTGCACTTTCGAAAACCAAATTGTATCAAGCAGAGTTTCTGATCAGCCTTTATATTTATACGGTCACATAACATTCCATCATATATCTTTCCAATTACATCAAGCGAGAAAATACTTATGTAATTGGTCGGATATTTTCTGTCTCCTTAATAAGCTGATTACATCAGCATCTACCTGGTGTTGTAATAATGTTTCTGGGTCCATCCAAAATTCATTCATATTTTAGAGCATTTCTTTCAGTCTGCTTCCTTTTTGCTTTATCATTTCTGTAGTTATTCCATTTCTACCCAATGTTTCGTTAGTTTTTGTTCTTTTTAGACTTTAAAACGTCTGACATAGCAATGGGGATATCATTTTCACTTATTTCATTTTCAGACTTTATGCCACATTCTACCTTTTCAAACAACTATTGGTAGTAACTTTTTAGTGTCTACATTTATTACCTGTTTCACGTTTGCTCATACATTGCTTTTATTATTTAGATTGATAGTGTTTCTTTTAGTCCTATATATGTTTTGTGATGCTCATGTTGTGAGAAGAGTAGTTCTATTTTTTCCATTTTGCAGTGTATATATTCATTATCAATGTTGTAGAACGTTCTTTCACATAATATATATACAATATTTTATTTAATCTATTGCCTTCTTCAGTCATAAAGGTTGGTGAAGTCGATTGCCTTCTTCTGGAGACACTAATAGATGACGCGGTACAAACACCGAGGTGAAATAGACGTTTTAGTCTTGACCTTTCTCTCCCTTGACACATACATGGTGACGGCAGACCACATGTGAATCACATAGCAATGATTTATTATTCCTTCCCAAGTTGGGAATTACTTTGTACATCCTTCATATTAAGAGTGGTCCAACTTCTTGCTTGTCCTTTGTTTATTGTCATTCTCTCTTTCGCTTGTCAGGACCGCATAGTTATCTCCCTGGTCCGATTACGTTGATTTCCTTTCAGTTTCAGGCAGTTGTTGTGAGTGGCATGTTTTGAGATTCCTTAATAACTATTCTCTTGATCTTCGTGTTTCTAATGTTTAAATAGGAATCATCTGTTTTTAGCCAGTCATTTTTATAGGACAGATATGTCGGTTTTCTTAGCTTCTACATCTTCTAGTCCGTAATCATTTCTATAATGTCAATACATTTCTTTATTTATTGCGAAAAACCGACTACAATTGCAATTTATGTATTTCATCATCGCCTTTCTAGTATGCCGGGTTGTATTCACTGAATCTATTTAGTTCCATAATGGTCGGGCTATTTATCTACTGATTTGGTAGATATTATTTCAGTGTCACAAAATCGATCTGAATTTGTCTTACCCACCTTTTGTGTGGGCACGTTCGTGACAATTTTCAAACACACTCTTCATCACTTTGAACAAAACACTATCCTTTCTTATTTTGTCCGTTTACCACACATTCAGTCTGTTTGTCTGACTTTGATAGTTTCATAATCTCTCCCAATTCTTCTATAGTCAAATTTTTCTTGTCTTTCATTCCAAATATCATACGTTTCATAGTATTTAGCGGTTTCTAATCTCGTTCCATCTTTCTAACATAAGACTATTATTTTTAGTCCATATATTAAAGTGGGTATGTTATAACTTGTGGCCTGTGTGCCCTGTTAATGTATAACGTAATGATACCGCCAATTAGAGAGCAGTGAATTATCGACCGGACCAATGACACCTAAAAGCCGTGCGAGCAGTCTAGAGTACTTATCGGTCCTGCTTCCTGTCTAGCCCAGCCAGTTAAGTCCAAAACGCAAATCCCAGTCTCTGCGATATGAATCAGTTATTTCAAGCATACTGGGTTTATATACCAACCGGACAGACCACATCATACCATAAAATAGGAAACAACATTTGTACAAGATTTAGCCAAAAGTGGCTGTGAGTGTGGGAGGTAGTAATTAATAGACAGGGCATAATTCAAGAATGGTAAATAGTATAATAATAGTTCATAGGTCAAAATGAGGCTTATAATAAGAGGAACACGAATATGAATAGTTTAGTTATTTAACAATTATATGATAAAAATATACGCATAGTATTGGTCCATAAATGGATCCCAAAAGTTACCATTCATTGTGCTTAACGGGGCATAACAAGGTACTACTGACATTTCAATCAATCTTGCCTTTGTGCTAATGCTGACATTTAGTGATAGTAAGATCAACCTTATTGGTCTTACATGAATTATTGCATGTTATCTTGTATGGCTTCTTCAGGAAGACCATTGTTACAGGCCTTGGATCCAAGGTATTTAAATAAACTAACGTTTTCGATTATATTTTCCTCAGTTTTGACTGTTTTTTCATCTCCACTAGCAATTATGATCACTTCGATTTTCTCGTTCAATATCTTCATCCCGAGTTTGTCAAGAAAATTTTGCATTTTACTTAACAACACAGTTGCATCACTTGCTATCTTAGTGATTATACACAGATCATCCGCATATTCAACAAGCTTAAGTATCCATTCACTGTTTTATTTACCTATCACCTTTATGCCAGTATCATCTTGTTTATTGTTTCTTACAGGATTTCTTGAAAAACAAGGTTAAAGAAAAGTGGACCCTCTTTGCTCCCTTATCCGACATCTCTGTCGATTGTAAAGGGTAAATCCGTTCCAACCAAGTGTCATTTTGGTTTTTGAAGTAATCGTTCAACATTTCCTTTAATATTTGTGGGTACATTTGGTTCATTTATTACTTTAATGATTAATCCCTTCGGCACAGTATCAAATGATTTTATTAAATCAAATCCAATGTACAATTTTGCCTTGGACGTGCACTTTCGAAAACCAAATTGTATCAAGCAGAGTTTCTGATCAGCCTTTATATTTATACGGTCACATAACATTCCATCATATATCTTTCCAATTACATCAAGCGAGAAAATACTTATGTAATTGGTCGGATATTTTCTGTCTCCTTAATAAGCTGATTACATCAGCATCTACCTGGTGTTGTAATAATGTTTCTGGGTCCATCCAAAATTCATTCATATTTTAGAGCATTTCTTTCAGTCTGCTTCCTTTTTGCTTTATCATTTCTGTAGTTATTCCATTTCTACCCAATGTTTCGTTAGTTTTTGTTCTTTTTAGACTTTAAAACGTCTGACATAGCAATGGGGATATCATTTTCACTTATTTCATTTTCAGACTTTATGCCACATTCTACCTTTTCAAACAACTATTGGTAGTAACTTTTTAGTGTCTACATTTATTACCTGTTTCACGTTTGCTCATACATTGCTTTTATTATTTAGATTGATAGTGTTTCTTTTAGTCCTATATATGTTTTGTGATGCTCATGTTGTGAGAAGAGTAGTTCTATTTTTTCCATTTTGCAGTGTATATATTCATGTTTAACTCTCCTTATCTTTCTATTCACTTCATTTTGTATTCCACCGTATGCTTTTCTGTTCTCTTCAGATGGATCATCTAACCATTTTTTCCTCACGTGTTTTCAGTCGTTTATTTCTTTTCTTAACTGCGTATTGACTTTCTCTTTCTACCCTTCGCTTAAAGGTTTAGATACTCGCCTGGAACGAAAATACCTTACTGTCTCACCAAAGAACAAACTTTACAGGAATGTGAACTGAAAAGTTGGCTTATGTGATGATATCTTAACATAATACAGAGGCTTTAGTAAATCTCTAAAGATATTTATATTGTCGACCTTGAATAGCTTGGACAAGAAGAGATACCCGATATAATTGGTAAGTTTGCCATTTCCTATAAAGATAAGAGTATCCGCCATTTTTCAGATAGATTTGGAGGATCCAATCCCACCACGTGATAAAGTAGAGCACCGATAATGATTACTCTTGCCTTATTGATATACATGAAGTAGAGAAAAATTGTTTGTAAAACATGTTACTATAAAATAAAACTAACCTGGACTGCAAGACATCCTTGAGGTGTCCACAAAAATACTGCATCTGAACCTGTACACAAAGCAAGTCGAGCAGAACACCTCGGATCCCACATCAGAGAAGATACATAACCACTAGTATGAATTAGAAGACTAAATAGACTTAAACGACGATCAATTGACCAGATCCAAATCACGCTCGGACAATTATCATTTCGTGTGGCCAAAAATCGACCATCTGATGAAAATTCTGTCAAACCAATTCCCACCTACAAATGTTTCAATTTTTTTTTGTATACATCAGCTTTGTAACTTAAAAAAGGAAAATTCTGAAAATAAAAGAATATTTTTCATGAACTAATATGACGATGAAAGTGCGTAATTTACCTATTAAAAATCACCACTTAAAACTCCGTTTCACTTGTTTAGCATCAAATAACCATATAGGATCATCCTTACCTAATATTTCTGTAGTCTAACCTTTTTACTGGTGTTCGTCTATACTCTTAAATATTGTTAGTTAGCTGCTGATAAAAAATAATAATATTTTATCAATTCTGAACTGAAATTGAAAAAAGGGTTAATGAGCCATCCCTATTGGTTAGCTATCCAATTTTCAGTAAGTCAGTGGATTAGATTGAACTCTTTAGAGATGTAATAACTTGATTAACACATAGTTGTAAGCACTAAATCAAGGAGAACTTTACTTAGAAATGACAATAACCATAATTGAGTTCTGTTATTATGATATATATGGTACATACATAAGAAACTGGGAGTTCGAGTTTTATTTTAAGATGGATACTGAATTCAAGAACTGTTGATGTAAATCATAAGTTGAAATCCGTAGAATGACCGTTGAGATTCACTTCGTACTGAATAGATGTACATTACATTATCTAATGCACCAGGAAAATGATTTCATGATCATTAGATATTTCCCTCAGATATGTTAACCTCAGAACTATCTAAATCGTAGATGGTACCTTAATGCTGTGGTACATTTTGAATATTGTGACAAGCTATATTGAATGGGATACCTGTTGTTTCCTCCGCAAGGGCAAGATGTAAAAGTTACGAGGTTGATACAGCATAAATAACCGCTCAGAAAAAGGTCATTGGTGACTAACCTTGAGTTTTTATCATGCTCTTAGATTGATAAGAACACCAACATCAATTCCGTTCTCTTTTCTTGCTGTTCAAAAAATACACTTTTAGTATCCCGGAGGTTGGAATATATCATATGTCTACATACCTTCAGAAGCACTCGAGTTTTCAAACAGTTTTATTCATTATTTATTCGACTCTTTTCTATCCCCATAATCCACACTAGTACCAGTGAATCCAGTTTAGGAAACGTTATTCGCAGTTTCACGAAACCACACTCCAAACTATACACTAGAGCTGATGGTGAGTTCTATCCAAAGCTTCCTGGAATTCTTCAGAAAACCAGGCACTCAAACATAATAACTGTAGTGAGTGATATTAACAGCTAAGTAGGTGGGATAAGACATTTTATACCAGGTAACTGGGAAGATGAATAAAACACTGACAAACACCTTAACTACCCTCAGATGTTCTTTAATTACTCGCTATCTATTAATAGTATGGATGGAGATCAAAATTAGATTTCTAACTCTTAGTGAAGATGTGAACAGTATAAACTTTAAGGACGGTTTTTCAGCATCGTTAGTTAGATTTACCTAGATGCTAGCTAGAGTTCGTGAACTATAAGTGATTCGAAAAGATTGTTCGTGGTCACTGATAGAGCACATAAACCTACTGAAACTCCGTTATTCAAACATCATTTCTCTAGTCAAAGCTTAAAGCGGACTGACCTTGTTAAGTAGTAATCGTCAGAGTTATCTGGTTCTACAGAATTTTGCTGTTAGAAATACCAGCTCCATTATCCGAATTTGTATAAGTAGTACCCGACCGTAGATTTACTTATCGACTTACTATATGCAAATACCAGATTTTGCGATTTAGAGGCGGACAACATGAAGACTTCTGAACACCTTGATCAAAAATCCGATAGCGTTCGGTGTGCATTTCTTTCCTAACAAGTATAAAGTGCTACTTCAAAACTGATATTTATCAATACCTAATCAAAATATAGAGAGCAAAGTGGTAGAGTATTTTAGCCACTTTACTTATATTGAAAGTTCTATCAGTTCTGAAGGTCTAGAGGCAGTAACTCCACATTCTTATGAATTTGAAAATAGACTAGAAAATTATACAAAGTATATTTAAATAACCTTATAACCGAAAAACAAATACACCTATATGGATTCTGAAGAGAAATTATTTTTTACTTATTTATTTATTTATTTGAACACATAAATATTGGTACAAGGGAGCACCAAATATATATGCGCCACACAAAACAATGAGAATGTAAACAGAAGGAGAAAAAAAAGAGAGGACAATAATGGTAGAAACGGAAAGGTACAATCAGAAGAGATCTTTCAGTTAAGGAAGATACAAACACTTTTTATGAAGAAAGTAAAAGAAGGTTACAGCAGGATCGCCACTGGCTTCTATTCTGAGCTATATCTGATAACGTCTCTAGCCACTGCGTTACATTGTCTTTCGGACCCCAACCAGGGAGTCGTGAAGGAACAACAGAAGCTAGCCCTTTGCAGCTTTCTTTCATACCACGACACCATGTCATATACTGACCACCTCTCCGCTTTTTCCAACCAGTCCCAGAGTCGGCAAATAATGCACGACGTGGAATTCTCTGGGACGACATTCGTAGAACATGTCCAAGCCACCGAAGTCGGTGTTTCAAGATGGTGACACCAATTTCATTATCGTCTCTGTGACCGAACATTCGATGTCGAACCTCTGCATTACTGACATGGTGTTGCCACTGGATGTCAGCAATCCTTCGGAGACAACGATGATCGAACACAGAGAGTCGTCTAACATCCTCAACTCGGAGAGGCCAGGTTTCAAAAGCATAGAGCAAAACTGCTCTCACCGTCGCGTTGTAAATCCGACCTTTTACAGCCAGACTAACATCACGAAGACGCCAAAGGTGGCCTAGATTGGCATAAGCCGCTCTGGCTTTCACTATACGTGCATTCATCTCATCACTCACACCACCACCAGCACTTATGCAGCTACCTAGATACACGAACTTCTCTACTACTTCTATCTGCTCACCATCCAGAGTGAGTACAGGATTAGAATCCTGCCAGTCTTGTAGAAGTACTTTGCACTTCGAAGGTGCAAAGCACATACCATACCTACGGACATTGATTGCCAACTGATTAAGTGCGGATTGCATAGCTTGGGTATTATCACACAGTAAGACAATACCATCCACACACTCAATGTCGAGAAGTCTTTCTCCAGGCAACAGATCCACACCACCATTACTTACATCCATCAGAGCTGTTTCCAGAATGTCATCGATGGCAAAGTTGAAGAGGAATGGTGAGAATGGGCAACCCTGCCTAACTCCACTGCTCGAATGGAACAATGGAGAAAGGTGGTTGTATGCTCTCACTCTGCCTGAGGTGTTTGTATATAGGGCTTTTAGGATGTTAATAAACTTCTCAGACACACCCTTCTTCAATAGACAATCCCAGAGAACAGTCATGTCCAACGAATCGAAGGCAGCCCTGATATGAAGAAACACTACGATTGTTGGCCTTTGATAAGTATGGCGGTGTTCTAACACTTGGCGGAGGGTGAAGATATGATCAATACATCCTCGACCAGAACGAAACCCAGCCTGCTCCTCGCGAGTCAATCCTTCTCGGGTCCTGAACAACCTACGAAGTATGACGGAAGCCAATAGCTTGGACGCAATCGAAAGCAGACTTATCCCCCGATAGTTGTTACAGAAACAACGTGAACCCTTTTTAAAGATAGGGACAACTATCGATTCATTCCATGACGTTGGTACACTCTCTAGTTCCCAGATCTTTGTAAACAACGTCGTCAGTCCCTTAGTCAGAAAGTCACCACCATCTTTAAAAAGAGCCGGAGGTAAGTCGTCTGGGCCCGGTGATTTGTAACGTTTCAAGAGTCGGAGTTCCTTGCGGACTTCCGCCTCATTTGGTGGATCAGTCGTCACCGGCCATGGAAGGAAGGACAGTCTGGCCGATGTTGCTGGAGCAGCAGGCCAGTTGAACTGAACTGCCCTTCGAAAAATTCTGCCCATCGTCCAAGACGTCGATGGATGTTAGTGATTGGTGTTCCGTCATCCTCGCAGATTGTTTCGCTCACACCAAACTTCTTGCTGCCAGTGGCTCGGATGAGTTGGAAGAGCTTCCGGTAATTACCAGATGCAGCTGCTGCTTCCAACTCACTGGCACGCTCCGACCACCAAGCTTCTCGGTCCTTACGCAAGCTTTGCCCAATTTCATTACGTAACATCCTTCGTCTGTGGTCAAACTCACGGTCACCCGGAGTAGACCGACGGGCTTCAATGAGTTGTAAGGAACCAGAAGAAACCCAGTGCTTGTAAGCGGGACGTTTCGCAAACCCACAACTGACTTGACCCGCCATTTTCATGGCGTCATGCAATTGCAACCAATGTTCATCTATACTTTTCGGTGGAATGGTAGCTAGCCTAGAAGCTAGCTCGGTTCGGTACTTACTAGCAACAGAAGTTGCAGCCAACTTGCTAACATCAATCCTTTGATGGCAGTCACTTCGTTGTCCACTGAAAAGTAAGGTAAGATTGGCGCAGACCAGAGCATGATCAGATTCCAGATAGGTACTCCAAAAGGAGCGGCAGTCTTGTACACAACCACGCCATCGGCAGCTGATCGTAGTGTGATCAATCTGAGTCCAGGCTTGAGATGCAGAAGGAGGACGCCGGGTGTCACATCGGCGATGACTGTGCCGAAAGTTAGTGCTAGCCAGAAACAGGTTGTGGTCTGTGCATAGCTGCAGTAGACGTTCCCCGTTATCTGTCCTGCGACCAACGAGTCCCCATCGGCCACCTAAACGACTTTCTTCTGTGTCTAGACGCCCGACCTGAACATTCAAGTCTCCGGCTAGTACTACAATATCTGTCGAACGCACTTTCTGGAGAAGAACAGTTAGCTGATGGTAGAACTCGTCCTTGATTGCATCCGGGCTGCAATCTGTCGGGGCATAGGCGGAGATGACGAAAAGACATCGTTTCTCACGCCGATTTCTTCTCACTTTGATGGAACTTTCTAATCTAACAGCACATAACCGACTGTTAATGGGGATCCAGTCGACTAGTGCTGCCTCAGCTCTTGCGCTTAGTGCGACACCAACGCCAGCAAGACCATACGAAGATGCCACAGGGTCCCCGGATAAACGCACGTAAAACAAGCTTTTTGAAGCGACAGATGGAGAGCGAACTTGTAGTACTTCACCAGAGTCTTGAATACGGGTCTCGGATAGACAACACACGTCAATATTAAGACTTTCCAAAGACATAGCCAGTCCTATCTGTTGTCCGACCTGCATAAGTGTGCGAACGTTGAAGGCAAGCAGTTAGAATGGTGCGCGTGGTTTTAGGAAAACTGCTTCAGTACTCGTATTCAGTGGTAACATACAATTTTCAACCACGCAGTGACTCGAGAGCGTTTTGATAGAGCCGAATTTTCACCATAGATGAGCTGTTGTATAAGTCGAAAAATAAGGATGGACAGAGTGGCAATAAAAGAGAGTGAATAGATGACGTGGTAAATAATAATAATAATAATAGTGGTGCGAGTCATTTCAGTGTAAATCGAAGCGAAAAGAATATTTTCCATAAGTAAATAGTTCATCATGTTTTAGTGCGTAGGCTGGGATACTGCCCGGGTGCCCAGACCGAAGCAGGTGGTTTTCTTAGGGGGCCACACCCCGAGTCTTCGACCTAAAGGTCTGACCCACAAGGCAGTGGAGCATCGTGAGGAGATTCAGTCCCATGGAAGCCGGTGACCAAGAAATCGGTTCATACGCCATTTGTTTCCGCAGGATACTGGAGCCCATGTGCACCATTGATTTGGAATCCGGTTAAAGCGTCAGACATTCGCTTTTCGTCCTCTCATTTTCGTAAACAACACCCGCGCCACGTTAAGGCAGTGAGTAGGACTTCTCTGGCAGAGACTGTATACGCGTGGCCGTGTGAGAGTATTTCGAGAGGGAGGGCGAACCCACCCCACTCTCGGCCATACCAGGGCATTTAAATAACCTTATAACCGAAAAACAAATACTTCTATATGGATTCTGAAGAGAAAACTACAAGAAGTAAACTAGTGATTTGAAAAAAGTTACATAATTACTACTAACTTTAGGAAATGCTTGGTTAGGATCAGGCCTAATTGATTGAATAGTAACAGCATCATTTAGTAGTTTGTACTGGACAGATGATGAATCTAGACGACCTTTAAAATTGCTTGATAAATCTGATGAAGCACCTGTTCGAAATTCTTCGTAAATATCAATACGATGTGCCCGATATGTTTCTAAATCTCCATCAACTTCACTATCAACACATAAAGGACGGCCATTCGGACTAAGTCCGAGAGAAGGGTCGATTGGTTTATTAACAGGATGCTTTAGACAAGCTAAACAAGTCCAATTGAAATCATTTAATAAACGACATTTTTGATCGTAGCTATTGGAAAAAACAGAAGAGAATGAACAAGTATGAGAATGATGTAGTTTAGTTGAAACTACATAAATATTGTTAAAGCATAACAGTATACCCCTTATGTGCTAACGACATTGATAAAATCATTAGCAAAAAGATTAGCCCTTTATTTCATTTGCATGCAAGATAAGGATAAAAGAACAATTACGAATAGGTATACTAGCCATCATTCATTTGACAATAGTTCAGTGAAATCTACTCATATAAAAATGTGGCACGCGTTCAAAGTGGTTCAACTATTTAAAAATTCCTATCATATTAAAACACAGATAAAGGAAAGAAAATTATTTCCAGTAAGTCCACTTCGAGTTATACAGTCATAAATCCAAATCAATAGTTCAAACCTTTAAGGCAAACATAGCGTTTGGAATTACAGCATAAAAATTTAGGATTATTTGTAAAATAAAATAAAGTTGTTAATGTCGAAATCACTAGTATGCAATTTTGATTTAATTGCCAGAGTTTTAAAAGATTTATTTTTCATGGAAGTGTTTTAAGTCTTATTATTTAACTCCATCACGCATATTCAATATTTCAGGTGTGAAAAAATAATAAGAAAAACACAAGTACGCAAATGCACTATTCACGGAAACTTGTATTAATGTACAACAACTTATGAAATCGAACGTTCCACCAGCATAAATATCGATCTTACATAATAAGTGTTTGGATGAATGTTAAGGTTAAAATAAGGCAACTAGATTTCATGATAGACTTATTACTGTTGTATTACACATTATCCAACAGCTTTATATACTACTACATAACTTATTCCCGCTTCTAGAAACGGTATTTCCATATTTATGAACATTGTGATGACACAGTCAACTGGTTGCTCAATTTCGGACTGTAGCCAGTGACAATAATTATACAACTAATCTAAATGATATAGCCAAAAAGGGAGTTTTTCTCCCGAATCCGCAAAATTAATAAAAATCCTCAAAGTATGCATACTATAGAACCGCAGGATTATGTGTTGCACAAAAATCAAACGTTAAAGAGGTGTTACTATACTAGGCGACAAACGAAACATTTTTAAAATACTACTTATTTGCCATGAATAATGTGTATGAAGTCAAATCAGCAAATGTTTGCAGTCTATGAAATTAACTTATGTATCCCAACCGTAGTTTACATGAAATTTACGAATAGATGGAAGATTCTGTTATAAAAACCAATATATGTAAGCAGTAAAAATATGGAAGCCCCTAACGCACTATTAAAAGCACTCTTTAATACACGTAACCAATTATAGAGCACAAGCACCTGAGCATTTTGCCTTATGATAGAAACATAACAATCATTCAGGTAACAAATTATCGACATTTATTCGGTGTATAAACTAGGATAATAGATTAAAACCAGGTAATCAAAAAATTAATTAACACGACAAATAAAAACACAAACGTACCTCCCTAGAGCTAATAATTGCCCTGTGGGGGACCATGATACAGATTTGATGCCTAGAAGCTCTTGTGTTGGTTTATAAGCACAATATGTACTGAGATGTTTTCCACCAACACTGTAAATAGATACTTTGTATCTTAAGCAGTTATCATACACGAGGATATAGCGTCCATCTGGAGACCATACAACTCCCACGGCATCATCAGTTTCTAACGTCATGTTCCAAAGAATAGTCCACTGAAGTCTGCAATCGAAGAGACTTAAGTGATCTTGAAAATTCCGTCGTTCAAGCAAAGCCAAATAACGACCACCAGGACAAAATGCCAAATTATTTGCACACGCCTAAATATATAAAGTGCCAGAAGAACTTACAGTAAATAATCGTTGTAAAGAATAACTTATTTTATTTTATTTATTTTAACACATAGATATTAGTACAAGGAGGCACCAAATACATATGCGCCACACATATCTCATTTGATATGTGTGAGGGCTGTGATACTGCCGGGTGCCCAGACCGAAGCAGGTGGTTTTCTTAGGGGGCCACACTCCGAGCCTTTGACCTAAAGGTCTAGTCCACAAGGCAGTGGAGCATCGTGAGGAGATTCAGTCCCATGGAAGCCGGTGACCAAGAAATCGGTTCATACGCCATTTGTTCCCGCAGGATACTGGAGCCCATGTGCACCATTGATTTGGGATCCGGTTAAAGCGTCAGACATTCGCTTTTTGTCCTCTCATTTTCGTAAACAACACCCGCGCCACGTGAAGGCAGTGAGTAGGACTTCTCTGGCAGAGACTGTATACGCGTGGCCGTGTGAGAGTATTTCGAGAGGGAGGGCGAACCCACCCCACTCTCGGCCATACCAGGGCATTTGGGGGCAACAACTATTAATACTACACCTCAATCCGTACAACATATTTAACTACAACAAAAAAAAATTGGTTGACAACATATTTGTTGGTGAGCACTGCAGTCTCTCTACATAAAAGTTGCTTTGATGAATCGGCTAGAACAGGTTATATTAATAATCGCCAAATGTTTATGAAACAAGAGATGCTTTTTAAATGTATACATGGCTATCTAGAATATATCACAGATAGATGAAAATCAACTTTCAGGGGAAGTTTAAGCAAAACGTTCTTCCGGTTCAATTATAAAATCACTAGATCCTTATCTGGTATCAAGAATTAAAAGATACGCATCGCCGCAAAACCCAAAGGCACTTTTGTTCTGAATATTATGTTTTAACGTGTAGCAAGCTAGAAATAAACTACATCGAGTGACTTCCTATGTGGTTGAGAGAAAAAAATTATGTTAGCAATAGAATAGTCTCAATCGAACTCTACAGTTGAGTACTTTTGATTTAGACCTATGTTATTGCATAAAAATAAGCAGAAACTATGGTGGGAAATGTGTGGAACTTTTTGACCACTGAATGATGAATAGATTTTCATGTAGCAGTCCCGTAGTTAACACTCTCTTCCTCAGTACCTACTGGTTTGCAAGTAAAGTAAATGAAGCTAAAAATTCGACCGAAAATGAAGTACAATAACTAGAAATTTTCGAAGATGAAAAAAACTCGGCATTCTCGAAATGGTTATCAGGCGATACTACCTTACTTGGTAAGGAAAAGCAAATATGATCTACAAAATTATTTAAAAGCCCACAAAAATTATTTATTAGCTCCATAAAGATGGCTTCATTATCTATGAAGTAACCAAGTGATTTACACTACACGGCTCTCGCTAGGCAAGTAATAACTTTGGAGCACCAAGTTTATATATAAACTTAATATAACAGGACTATAGAATTACAATAAGCACAATACTTCCGGAAAATCTAGGGGTTTCACTTTCAGATACCAATTTTTCCTTATTATACATTAAGATAAATTTATTTGTTGATACTGTTCAAGGTCTTCAATCAGAGAAAAGTCTGAGAGTTTAGAAAATACAACCAGAACTCACTTTAGGGAACTTCAGATACGAAACGGAGACTTCCGATATCGACCAAACGGTTATCCTCAAATAAAAATCAGTTGTTGTCAAAAAGTGTCTGCTATCAGGCGACCATAAAGCATTAAGAAGTCCAGCAGAACCCTCGTCAACTTTGCATGTCCAGTCCGGATTTTCTAGGGAGAATATCTACAGAAACTAACAAAATATTAAAACAAGCTACCTGAACTATTCCACGATGTTTCAGGATGGTCAGAATGAACAATGAGTCTGCTGACCACAATATGTTTTGCACTATATCTACACAACTGTATATCTGGAATATTTGGAGCGTGTTTGTTATACGAATAAAAACTTTGTGCTGAGAACCGGAAGCAATGTAAATACCATTTGACGACAAAACAGCCAAACTATTCGTAACCTTTACCACATCTGAGAAGTTCATCTTAAAAGTGAAAATTTTCATAAACAGTTCCCAGTTATGTTTATTTTAAATGATTGTTGCAACAATCATCAATCAGGAATATTCTGAGAGATTACTTTTAAACCCGGAGGCAATCATTTTGATAAATCCAAACTGTTGATGCATCCTGATCAAGCCTTAATGTTGATTGTTGTTGAACAAGCGCGAAAAAAGACTTCCGAAGAAGTAAAGGAGATGGGGAAATGTTAGCGGACAAATCAGATAACTAGTCAGCAGTATGTATATTTCCAGACATATATTTGCACTTATGAATGGAAGCGACCAATAACCGTCAACAAAATATGGGCATTAAACCGGAGCAATCAGATGATCGATCAAGGAAGACTAGAAATAAATTGGACACGCAATGAACAGTTTCAAAACCGCAACGCTCTTAGGACGCTTAACGCGCGCCAAAATGTGATAGCAACCAAGCCCTTGTTCTGCAAACTGACTTCATGTTGCGGATAAAAGAAAATAAAAGTTCCTTTTACTTTCCCTTTATGTTATTAAGGGCTATAGAAATAACAAATAAGTTTATTTCCTGATTCCTCAAAAATTTCAGTTCCAATGTAGAAAGAAGACAATGAAAAATTAGTGTACATAACAATAATCTGAAGTCTTACGCTAACTGCGACAAAAGTGGACTCCAAAAAAGCCTTGAGCTGGTAAATTCGAAGAGTAATTTTGACCAGTTCGAAGGTAGAACTTTCTACTTAATGTTCAACAGTTTTATTTGACCTTGTAGCGGTAAATAAATCTCCGAAATAAATAGCTCTGTAATTCTTCAACATTGGATGCTGACCACATTAGTTCTGATGGACTCACCTAGCTGAATGCGCTTGGTCATTGACGGTAACGCCGTGCTCAACATTTTCTGAAATAGCTAGCAAGTCGAGATCAATTGATCCACGTTATATTCATAGCCTATCAAATATATCTTCAAGCCTCCTCGCTTCTGTCTTTTAATTTCACTTGGTAGATACGATTCATAGTATAAGGTGTTACTGGGTAATGTGTGGCTAAACTCCAAATACTTGTGGAAACTTCATTGCTGAGCCCGATTTGGTACATCTACTTGCAAACTGTTAGTCTGGTCCCATTTGGAATCCTTTATATCATTTCTTTATTTTAGTTTTTACATATTGTGATATTTTTCCCCGTCCATTCTTGTACTTGATATTTCACTATGACGTAACTGACACATAAGGTAGTTAAGTTAAAGACTATATCCTCACCTTCGTTTCAGTTAATGATCTTTTGGCCAGACAACATCGAAGCATGGTTCTGTTATGCAGAGGCCGACTTCCACGAGCTCGGCATAAACGATACACGTGCGCAATTCCCCCTTAAGGCACTACCGCGCGAATTCAACAGGTATGTAACACCTAGCATGTTTACTAGTGATGTTTCAGGACCCTACAAAATACTGAAACGATATATCCTAAAAAGCGGAGATTTAAGAGATCGACAAAGGTTAGATCAACTCCTTAATTATATCGACCTGCAACACGGTTCTGCGACAGACATTGTGGAGACAGGTCTGTCAAACTTATTTTGTAAACAGTTTTTAATATTATTTGTCTTTATTTTGTCAATCTTTCACTGTATGCACATTTATTATTAAATCATTGTACCTGTTGTTTTAGTAAATGACCTTGAACACTTTTTCCGTTGTGATCCTAACATAGCGTGACACACTTGTGGCTGTTCGCATATACACTACTACGCACACACTCCTTGATCTATTCTCACTCGTTATCGAGCCAATTGCATTCTAAATCAAATATCATCACCATTTTAGACTGTCCTATCATTACTATTACATCCTACGCCAAGGAAACTACTCGAGTCATATTTACCTCATCAGAGTTGTTACTCATTTATAATTGTGGATTTTGGTACTCAAACTCAACAGAATACGCGACAACTATCTGATTTAATTAATGTCCATGAACTTTTATTTTGCGCTACTAGTTTATAAGTTGTTATTGTTACATTAACTTTGGACTTAATAAATTTATTGCTAATTTTTATTTCATATACTTTTGGGTCTACCACAACATGCTGCTAACAATGAGAGAGGTGATTGGACAAAGAACTTTCGACGATTGCCTGTTCAGAAAATGTTTATTGTCTAAACTTACTCAACGAATTCAAGCTGCATTAGCCTCGTTTCAAAACAACGCTGTAAACGAGCTCACCGCATCTGCCAACCGCATCATAGAAATGACCAAATTTTCAAACGTCGAGGTTTTTTAGTCAAAGCAAATCCCCAAGCCACACAGAATGACATTACGGAATTATGTCGTACGCTTACACGTTATCATAGATTTCGTCATGACCGTAAACAGTCACATACCCCGCGAGGAAGCACTTCACTTAAGCGATCTGTCTCCAGACCACGAGAGACGATTTACCCAGACTGATGCTGGTATCACAATCAGTACGGGAAATCTTCTAGAAATCGAACGCCTTAGCGGCAGCCATATCCGACGAACATAGCCGTCTGTTATTCGTCACAGATATGATAACGAAATTTCGCTACCTCCTCGATACTAGCGCAGAAGTTAGCGTTCTTCCAGCAAATTCTAACAATCGGCTTCACGAGTCGGTTTTAAACTTACAGGCAGCTAACGAAAGCTAACCGCCACATATGGCATAATGTGCGTTTACCTTAACATGGGTTTACGCAAACACAGATGTTTCTATGCCAATCATTGGCACAGACCTGCTACAACACTAAAAACTACTAATCGATACGCGCGAACGGATACTGGTAGACGGAAACATTCATTTCTCTGTTTGCGTGACTTATTTTTCCGTTGCTGATTATCTCCTGTCACAGTTAGTTCCACGATAGATCCATTCTATCAACAAATACTCGATAAGTACTTTGTTATATGCAAATATAATGTTTCCTCCCTCACTCCAAAGTAATTAGGAACGGACTGAAAGCACACCTTCTATTCTTTAGAAATAGTCATATTCTAGAGTTTGCTGCCAGTCGACCGCGTTCAAGCGACAACCTACGGATCCACCAAACAGAAAATGTGACATATGCTGAAGGACTCAGGACAGTGTTCAACTAACATTTATCAATGTATTCATTTTTATAGCAAAATATATCTAGATTCTTATCTATAGTCGTAGATGATACACTGCTAATAGATATTGAGACTCGTTAGGCACTGGAAAAACGGTAGACTCGTTCAAACCTGCCCGCCGTTTCGTTTCAGCGACCTTGAACGGCCTGACTATAGGCGGTCATTCCGTATTTAAATTGCCGTCGGTGTGTTGGGTCGCATGTGTAAGATGTTTTTTTCATATTTAAGTCATCTTTTGCTGCATGAAAAAGCAGAAAATAACTGCCAAAAGCATCAATATAGCATTCTCTGTCTTGTAGTGTACACGTTAGCTCTGTTGTTGCTTCGAAAATTGATCTGTGATCCCACCTGCTGTAGTAAACGTCAACACCTTTATATATTTGTTGATAAGGTCCATAAAACAACGTAAGAAAGATAAGATAACCTTTAAAGTTATAGATACGCAAAGTTTTTGTGAATCGCTGTTAAACAAAAAAGTTAAGACCAAATCTCAACTCATCGGTAAGTCTTAAATATTTGTTGTACTTCTTTCAGTTAGTATTTTTTTCAAGGAATAACTTTTTTTAATAATTAATGAGTGTTGTCTGTAGTGCTTCATGCTCAAATGAAATTTCGGTAGACATAAGCGAGGCGTTTCAACGTATTATGCTGAACAAGCGATTTGGAAGGTGGATTGAATTTGATAGTGCTCTAAAGGATTTCCAAAGGGTATTGAACAATAATTCTATGTTTTTTCAGATTACCCATACTCACTATGTTCACACAGAAAGTAAATTGTTTAAGGATATGAGGTTTAAATACTTGTTTGTGGTGTTTCATGGTACGTTTGGTCGTAAACGTAAATCCGAAGGTCTGTTGGTGAATAAAAAACCGTGAGGACTTTAAGTAATCTCTTACATTTTAGGTCTAAGTTTATAAACTGCCAATCTAGGTTTCGTATAAGATTGGAAGGTCAAGAATATGTTATAAAATCTCGCAACCATCCTTGTAGTAGTTCATGGATAGTTTGTGATCTGTGGAGTAGAAGATTGTCATCCAACGAAAAAGAAAACTTAAAGCCAGTAATATTTCACGCTCAGTCGACAAATCAAGTTATAGAAAGCATTAAGGAGAGAACTGGTAAGCAGGTTACCGCTGCTGATTTCAAAACTATGAAAGCTAAACTCTCCATTGGTAAGTGTATAGAAATATATTTCAGGTTGTACTCGAATGCAAGTAATGCATGTGCCGCGACAAAACGGTGAAGTTGGGGAGCATGTAGAAAATGGATATATTACGAGAATATGCTTCAGCAGTTATGACCAGATACGGTTGTACAATCTATATCCTGAAGTCGTGTGTATTGATTCGACTTATAATACCAATAATAAAAGTGGTTGCTCTCTTTGTTACATTACACTTTGTAGATATTCCTTATTCCAGTTGGTCGTGGGCGGCCTGTAATGTTTTGTTGAATGAAAAAGGAAATGCGCACAGATGTCACGTGGCTTGTAGAGAAATTCAAAGAGGTTATGGGAAACACATCGAAAATTCAGACCTTTGTTATGGATTGCAAAATTTTAAAGTGGATCTAAGCATTTGTGAGTATAATTGTAGATTATTTGTTACGTGCCGATATCCTTGCCGCCATATGGCGTCAGATATCTGCTACTGGCATATGTTAGAAGACGAACTCTTACAGATAACTTAATCACTTACGAAATATAAACTATATAGCTCACCAAATTCTTAGGCATTGTTGTAGATGGAAGTTAGACAATACCCACAACTTACCAAACAACACAACATTTACGGAGTGAAGAATATGTACAAATTCAACGTCTCCAAAGAATGTGCAGACAACAAATTATTGAGAAATATGGTGAACAATTTGCGAAACAGGTTGAGAGAAAAGTC